CGTGGACAGGCCGCTGCAGGTTTTCCATGTGGAAGTGGAAGTAAAGGATATTAATGACAATCCACCGGTGTTCTCTCTCAGAGAACAAAAGCTGCTGATTTCTGAATCTAAGCAACCCGACTCTCATTTTCCTCTAGAGGGAGCTTCTGATGCGGATATAGGAGAGAATGCTCTATTGACCTACAGACTAAGTCAAAATGAGTATTTTTCTTTAGAATTACCAACACATAGTAAGCAGACTAAAAGACTGTCGCTTACATTAAAAAAATATCTGGATCGAGAGAAAACTCCAGAGCTTAATTTGCTACTGACTGCTGCAGACGGGGGAAAACCAGAGCTCACTGGCACCCTTCAGCTTTTCGTCCAAGTCTTGGATATTAACGACAATGATCCGGAATTTGAGCAATCAGAATACAAGGTGAGATTGATGGAAAATGCAGCTAAAGAAACTTTTGTGATAAAGCTAAACGCCACAGATCGAGATGAAGGAGGCAATGGGGAGGTAACCTATTCCTTGATGTCAATTAAGCCCAATGGAAAGCTCTTATTTACACTAGATGAAAATAACGGAGAAGTGAGGGTCAATGGAATTTTAGATTATGAGGAAAACAAGTTTTATGAAATTGAAGTACAGGCCACAGATAAAGGGAATCCCCCAATGGCCGGTCACTGTACAGTCTGGGTAGAAATATTAGACGCCAATGATAATGCCCCTGAAGTCACCGTGACTTCTCTGTCTCTACCAGTACGAGAGGACACTCAGCCTAGCACTGTCATTGCGCTGATCAGTGTATCCGACCAGGACTCCGGTGCCAACGGGCAGGTGACCTGCTCACTAACACCTCATGTCCCCTTCAAGCTGGTGTCCACCTTCAAGAATTACTATTCGCTGGTGCTGGACAGCGCCCTGGACCGAGAGACCGTGGCGGACTATGCTCTGGTGGTGACCGCACGCGACGGAGGCTCGCCTTCGCTCTCCGCCACGGCCAGCGTGTCCGTGGAAGTGGCGGACGTGAACGACAACGCGCCGGCATTCGCGCAGCCCGAGTACACGG